ATGCGCGAGCGGTTCCTTCGCGACATCCAAGCTGAGGTGCAAGCGCTGCGCGCGCCGGGCGCCGTGGCCCGGCGGCGTGGCGGGGCCGACGCAGTCGCGCGCAAGGTGGCGGCTGGCGTCGACGGCCGCTCGATGGGATCGCTCGCCACCCGCGGCGATTCCAAAGACGCAGCGCGCATCGAATTCCTTCGCAGCGGCGCGCCTGCCGTTGGCCCGCCCCCAATTTCGGGCAGCGGCGCGCCCGCGCGGCGCCCCGAGGCGCGGCAGGCCTCGAGCGCGCTCGCGGACGCTGCCAAAGCCAACTGCGCATTGATGGCGCCCCTCAGAGAGGGCGCTCAGTCGGCGACGTTGCTGGGCCAGTCTTTCAAAAAAAGCAAGCGCGGGCCGCGTGCCCCAGCCCGTCACCGCCGAGCAGGCTGACCTCAGCGCAAACGTCTTGTCCCCGCGCATCGGAGTTGCCCGAGCGCGGCCCAATGGCGACTTGCGCGGTCGGGCAGTGGGCGACCACCCCGCTCAGAAGTGAATTGGTTACCTCGGCAGGCGAGACATTCCGCCCCGAGCCCATCGACGCGCATTGCCGCGTGGTCAGGGGCGTGGCGCAGGGCACCCGCGAGCGCATATTGCTCTTCAAAGCCGACATCGATTCGGCTTAGCGCAGGCTGCCCGCCATGCCGGCGCATCGCCGTTTTTTTATTGTTTTGTTTCCCTCGCGCAGGGCGTGGCGCGCGTTGCGGGGCGCTTGGCCATGCCCTTCGGCGCCGCGGCGTCTGCGCGCGCGTGGGAAAGGATCGGCGCGTTCATTTCGCACCTCGCGCGCCGTCTCCCGTTCATTCCGACGCTTCGCTTTGTCGATAATCTTTTTGGCGCCGAGCGCGCGGCCTGCGCAGAACGCGCGCTCGAGTGCATTGCGCGGCTCGTGCGCTGCATCCTCGGATCCTCTGCGATCGCGGCGGACGAGGTCGCTGCGGGCGCGCCGCATGTCGTCTTTGGCCATCAGGTCCGCGCAGACCTCGGCGGCTTTTCGTGCGCGCCCACCCCCGGCAAAACTAAGAAGTGGCGCGGTCGCATGGCCGGGGGGCGCGGCGAAGCTGGCGGGCGCCCTGGCGCAGGCATGCCTGGGCATGTTCCATCGTATAGGGCGCGCGCTCATTCGGCCTTTGTTCGCCCGCTCGAAGCGGAACGGCACGGCGATGTGGCAAAAATTGCGCGTCGCGCTCGAATGGTAGGCAGAGGCAACTCGCGCTGGAATTTTGCGAGGCGCGGGCCCGGGCGCCCGGCCGGCGCGAGGCGGCGCAGCTTTTTGTCGACGCGCGCGGCGCGCCGCCCCGCGCAGCGGCAGTGTTCTTTCTCGACGGGCAGGCCTTCCAAGCAGATTGCGCCCCCCCGAGCGCGTCCTGCGCCATTTCAAGAGGAGGGGCGACGCGCAAATCATGTCGCTAGAGCTGCTTGCGATCGCCTTTGGCCTTTCCTCGTTCAGCGGCGCGCTCGCGGGCGGACGCGCGCGCCTCTGGTCCGACAGCGTAGGGGCCGAGGCTGGCGCGCGAAAGGGCGCCTCGAAGCAATGAGACTACGCGCGTCGCATAAGTTCGTCGCGGCTGCTGGCGGCGAAATTGCGCGTTTCGCTCTGCGTCGATCGCGTCGGGGCCTCATTCGATCAGCCGCGCCTGAACGACCCATTCCGGGAGCCCGCGGCATGGGCGTCGCAATCAGCAGCGCAGGTGCCGCTGCGTCGCGCGCAAGCGCTTGTCAGCCGACAGGTCGGCTCGCGCGCCAAGCTGTCCCGCGACGGGGCTGGGCGCAGCTTGGGCGCGAGCGTCGCGCTACCAAGCGCGGCGTTTCCATGGCGCGGCCGCGCGCCACTGGCACCGCGAAATTGCCCGGCGCGCGCTCGGCATGGGTTCTGCGGCAGAAGCCCCCTTCGGCTCGGCGCGCGCCGCGCGTTGTTTCGGCAGCGGCCGGGCGCGCCGCAACCACGCGCGGTTTCTTGCAGGGAGTTGTCCGGCCAAGGCAGGCACGACGCTGCGTGGTTCGACACAATTGCGGCGGCGCTGGCCGCCGAAGGCGCGTCGCACCCATCCGCGCTCGCTGGAGCCAAACTCAAAGATTTGTCGTTTCAGGGCGCAAAGCATGACGGCGGCCAAAAGCGTTGCATTCACGAGGCCCTGGCGCTCGCGTCAATCGAACAGGCTCGCGCCCTTCGCGCCGCGACCTGGCAGTTTCGCGCTCGCGCTTGCACGCGGGTGGGAGGCTGGGCCCAGCCGCCGGCGCCGACGAGGGCGCCGGCCGCCGGGGCCGTCGCCGTCGACGCGCTCCTCGAGCAGAGAATTGCGATGGCGCATGTCGCCAGCGCGCCGCGGTGCAGCGGGGGCCCGCGCGCGGCGCTCCGCCTTCTTCGCCGGCGGCTCGATGGCCAGGATGGCCCAGCGTGCGTCGCTGAGTGGCTGTCCTCGGCGCGCGCGGCGGTCATCCTCGGCGCATGCCCGTGCTCCATCGCTTCTTTCAAGAGCGGCGCGGCAGCACGGTTCGCGTTCGCACGCGGAGCTCTGGCGCTGCACGGTCGGGGGCGGCCGCCGTTTGCCGACGGGCTGCAAGTTGGCTTGTCTGATTTGCGGTCTGTCAGTCGACGTATTTCGCGACGCGCCCCTTCGCCGCGCCAAGTGCGCCATTCGCAAGCGCGGCGCGTTCCTGCCCAGGGCCTCTGTGCCAATTCGGGAAGACGCAGTGCGCGCGATGTTGAAGCTTGCATATGGGCGGCACGAGTCCGCCGTCCTTGCGCAGCTGCTCCTGGTCACATACGTTTTTCGTTTGCGCCTCCCCTCGGAGGCCTTGGGCATTTCGTTCGACGGCGTCGCTTTTCGCCAGGGCGCAGGGGCCTCATTGATTTTGCGCGACGGCCTCCTGCAGCTCAAGTTGGCGCGCCGCAAGAGGAAGCAATTTGGATCCGCGCTGGTGCGCTCGCTGCGCCATGACGCGCCCAGTTCACGCGCCCAGTTCGCGGCCCCGCCGGTGGGCGCTTGTCCGTTCGCGGAGACTGCCGCGGCGAGCTCGCTGAGCACGCTGCGCTTTTTCCTCGGCCAGCTCGGCGTCAAAGATGCGGTGCTTTTTCGGACTCACGACCTGCGGCGCAGTCTCGCAGTTGACCTGCAGCAAAGAGAAAACTTCGCGCGAGATTCTTGAGGCGGGAGAATGGCCCTCGCTCGCTTTCTTATCATACCTCGACCTGACTCAAGTAGAACTGGGCTCCGCGGTCGAGGCGCACATGGCCGAGTCTGAGGACGACTTGGTTCAGGCTCTGGTGATCCAGGCGTCGCGCGCTGCCCTCGCGCGTTCGTGAACTGCCCTGGCGCTCGGCAGCGACGCGGCGCCGCCGCGCGCGTCGCCCTTTTTCGCGCGGAGCGCGCGTGTCGCGCGCGGCGCGCCAGCGTGCATTGGCTAGGGGCACTTGCATCCCTGGCGCCCCGCGCGTCGGCTCAGTCTGGATTCGCCAGGCTGGGCAGCGCGGGAGGCTGCCGGCGCCCGCCTCCATCGCAAGGGCGCGCGCACTCTGGAGAGGTGCGCTGTGCGCGGGCACATATTTCGCGCCCGCGCCCCTGGCCCGCGCGCATTCGGGCGAGATGCGCGCGCGGGCCGCCCCCCGCTCTCCTGCGCCTCGCGGCGCGCGGCCCCGCGTGGCGAGCTTGTGCGCGCGCGGCGCCTTGCCTGTTCATCGCTGCGCGCGGCTCTGCGAGGAGGGCGCGCGTGCGCGGGGCGACGGGCGCGCGCGTGCGCTGCTGTTCCTGTTGCATCGCCACGGGTGCCGCTCGGTTCTGGCGCGCATGGACGCCGCTCGGTTCTGGCGCGCCGCGGGGGCCCCATCGGGGCGGGCCGCGGCGCGCTTCGGGGTCGCGCGCGTCGCAGGCGCTGGCGCCTTGCGCTTCGCTGTCGCAGACGTCGCGCGCGCTTTCGCCCCACCCTCCCGCTCCTGGGGGCACTTGCACCCCTGGCGCCCCGCGCGTCGGCTCAGCATGGGTTCGCCAGGCTGGGCAGCGCAGGGGGGGCCGCACCCCGTGTCATGAGGGCGCAGGCACCTTCAGGCGCGGGAGGCTGTTGGCGAAACTCAAAGTTGTGGCCGTCTTGGAGTCTTATGGCCTCTTCCTGTTGCTCCAAGTGGCGGCTCTCGGAGCCATGTGGAGGCCCCAAAAGGAACCGATAAGACCGATCTTTTTGGCGTGGGCGATCTTGGGGAGTTCCGAGGCCACTTGCATCTATGTTGTGGCCGTACTTGAGCCATACAGTACCATTCTGTCCCATATCACAAGCCATCTTGGGCCAGAGGGGAACGTCTGACACCTCGCGAAACATTGTCTCCGACCTCAGGAGAGGAATCGGGGGAAGGGTCGCCCCTTCTCTAAAGGGGAAGACTGGGCTTGGAAGGACGAGCTTGCTGAACCAATGAAGCCCAGAGGGCAGGTGGGATTACTTCTCTGGTGCCTCGACTGGTTGTCTCGCGTAAAGCAAAAAGTGCTATTTCAGAGTTCCATGGATCACGCTTGGAGGAAAGCCCTTTCCCCAGTCGAGTGCACGCGGATCTTGGGGAGACAGTCGCACTTTCAAGACGACCCGCTCTCAATACATCCCAGGTATTTGACGATAGTTGTTTACTTCCCAGTGGCAGCTGTCCATTTTAAGTCCATGCTTGATTGTCCGGAGGTCCGACGAAGGCCTTCAGGAGGCAAAACACCACTGCGCTGAAGGTCTGGGACTGGCGTCGCGATTCTCGTTCGGGTTCCTTCTCCAGACCCGTCAGGAGCGGCGCCCCAGCATCAGACAGGTCGAAGATGAGGATCAATCGCCGGACGTTCCTCGGCGCTCCAGAAGGCCATGAGAGCGTTCCAGATCGCTTTGAAACCGTAGCAGTGCCTGATGCGCCAGACGGGCCAGTACTCAAAGATATTTGAGATATTACCGATTTGGTCACCTTCCTCCGGATTTGTCGTAATCTTGCCCCCGTTTTCCTCTAGGACGCGCTGGGGCTGCAGTACAAGCAGTCGCTCGCGAAGGTCGTGGGCGCGGCTCTCGCGGCGCCGCCCCTGCAGGAGCTTCGCGCGCACCCCTGGCGCAGCATCGTCGTCGTCGCCGATGCCGTCGTGGCCGCCGCCCACGCGCCCGTCATCCCACCACCTCCCCCTTGCCCGCCTCCTGTGGCCCGCTTGCACCTCGCTGCGTCGGTCGAGGGGCGTGCGGGCAGAGTCGCAAACCATCGGCCATGGCCCCAGTCCTGGGGAAGTTGGAGTCTAACACTGATCGGCACAGACTGCTGCGATGAAGCGTGTGGCCGACCCCTTCTCGTTTGTCCCTCTCCTGCCCTCTGCCTCGCCCCATCGTGCTGTTGCGCACCTCCCCTCTTGGCTTCTATTGCGCGCCTCCCCGCTTGGCTTGGCAGGACAACGCGTGTGCGTGTGAGGGAGAGAGAGTGAAGAGAGTGAAAGCGTGAGTGTGTGTGTGTGTGTGTGCGTGTGCGTGTGCGTGTGCACACGTGTGTGTGTGTGTGTGTGTGTGTGCTCGCGGGTGTATGCCCTATACATGCCTTTTCCGCCTGCGCAGTCACTCTGCCTAGTCGCCGACGCAAAAAGTGCGTTCGCAGGCGATTTCACTCCCCCGAACAGTTCTGCCGCTTGAGTGCGTGGTGTGCGAGTTTCGCCCAGAAAGTTCGGCCGCTCAGAAAAAGGAGGAAGTTCAGAGATACACCCCCCGTGGGCTATGTTCGGACGCACCCCTATCGAGGATGGATGCCCCCCATCATATATATGTGTATATATATTATATATATATATATATATATATATATATATATATATATCCCAGTGTCCGGCCCAAATCTGTGGTCCCTTCGAAACCCACGAAGCCTCGGATAGGGGTCGACATATCCCTTGACATGTGTGTATGCGCGTGCATTCGCATTTCCCCCTCGTCTCCGACCCCGTCCGCTCGAAGGTAGGAGGCTCGACTCCCCACCGGCGCCCCTGCCCACGAGCATGCGGAGCCGCTGCCGCTCGTGCGCCCCTCGGTGGCGCTGGTGACCAGCGCGCTCTCGCCAATTGCCGGTCCTGCCGAGGGTGCGCCTGGCGCGATATGCGGGCGGCGGCCTTGGCCGCGGCCTCGCTGGCCACCGCGCTCGCCGAGGGCGGCCGTGCCGAGGGGCCGCCCTCGTGGCTGCCCAGGGTGGAGCTCGAGGACTTCGAGTGCAGGAGGGCGCTGCCCTCGGCCACTGCAGACTGGTCCACGAGGGAAGCAACATCGTCATCAGTTAACCGCAGAAGGTCTTCCCCCTCCTCGTCCCTCCTCTCTTCGCCCTCCTCCTCGCTCTCCCTCCTTGCCCTCCTCGTGCTCCCCTCCTCGCCCTCCCCCTCGTCCTCCCTCTCCTCGTCCTTCCCCTCCTCGCCCCCCTCCTCGCTCTCCCTCCACACCCTTTGCTGTTCTACCCTGCGCGACAGAATATGTTCGAGTTTATTTGTGCATCAAGGATTGCAAGACAATCGGCTACATCTCCAGTCGAGTCGGCGCGTTGTCTTCGTCGTCGTCGTCGGGATTGATGTCGTCGTCTTCATATGTGCGTCGCCAGCTAATCATGCGCAAAACAACGCTCGCCAGAGTTGTTGTGAGCTTGATCGGATTCACCGCCAGCGGAAGTATTTTCTGACTCTTGATCGTCTGTGGGTTGTCGTTGGGTGGTCGGTTCTCCTGGCGGATTTTGCCCTCTGGTATACTTTGCACGACAGAGGGATATTGAGCTTGTGTGTAAAATGATCGCAAGATGATTTGCTACATCTCCAATCGAGTATATCACTAATCCTGAGGGGTTCCCAGGAATCTGTAGGAATCCGACGGGAGTCCTTAAGAATTCGACGAATCTCTGGGAACCTACAGGAATCCAAAGAGGGTTTTCCGAATCCTACGAATCTCTAGGAATTGCAAGCATTTGCTTTTAGGATCCCCACGGGTTCCTGGGAATCCGATCCTGAGAAATCCTACGAATCATCAGGCATCCTTCGGAATCCAAAGAATACCCGAAGTATTTGTAGGAATCTGTATGGATCCTGAGGAATCGTACGAATCCATCGCAATCCTAAGAGATTCCGATAACTCTTCGGAACCCATAGGACCCCCCGCAGTGGCCGCCGCGGAAGACCAATTCTTTTCCTATTAACGTTTTTTGGTCCCACTCCGTCCATCATCCCGCGCAAACAAAAATCAAGTAGTTCCCATTCTCAAAACGGGGGTTTATTACAGCAGCATTGCTGTCGGAGGTCCGCCCAGATTTTTCGGGTCGGCCGTTCGGAGGTCCGCGCGGAGTTCTTGGGTCGGCGCCGGACCCCCGTGGCGGCGCCTCCAGCGCCGCTTGTAAGGCGCGTCGCTGGCCAAGAAGCGGTGGGGGTCCAGCGCCGATCCAAGACATGCGCGCGGACTTCCGACAGTTCTGCAGTGTGTATGCCGTTGCTTCTTCCTTCCAGGCCCGCCCTGCGGTCGCGGGTGCAGGCCCTCGTGTCTGACGGCCTGGAGGCGGATAGCCTGGTCCCCACGGTTGAGGACGAGGCCGCGACGTCGCGGAGGAAGGCGCTACAGGTGGAGCTGCTCGACAGGGCGTCCAGGCCGTTGCTCCGCTTCGAGGCCGCTATCGCCGAATGTCCCTTCGGGGCCGTGACCGCCTCCCTGCTCGTGGCCTGCCTTGCGCACATGCCAAGAGCCGAGGTGTCCGAGGAGGCACTGCCGTGGGCGTACGAGACGATGCTGTCGGACTTTGCACGGCAGCCTTTTGACGACCTGGTTGCGAGGGATTTGCGTCTGTTGCTCAGCCTCGCTCCCATGCATGTCGTTGTGGCGGCCGAATGGGGCATATTCTCGTTGCTAAATCTATACGTTGGACGCCTCAGAAAGAGGACCCCCGATCCTGATCATCCAGTCCAGCACGCCTGCGCTGGCACATCTGTCTCAGGACACTCGTCCGAGAAGGTCATGGAAGTTCTGAGGAGGCACACACGCTTCGCTTCTGGCAAGAGCATCGAGGGGCTGAAGTTTCTACGCGGCCTCGACCCCATCGTCAGTTCCGTTATGCGGGATCCTACGGATTTCTCTGCGCACTATGTCCACTCTTGCCCTGCCGGAGCCGCGGCATTCGCGCTGGCCTCGGCCATGCTGTCGCTCATGACCAACCCATCGCTTTTCGAGAAGTTTGTCAACATGGCCCAGTATGTGCTGCAGGCGCATGCCGAGGAGGTGGTTGCTGGCGCCGATGCCTGGGGCGTGTTTCATGCGTTTGCGAAGCTTGCGGTCTTCGCGACGAGGTCCTTCGACCTCGTCTGGTCGATGGAGGAGCTGTTGCCGCTGCCCGAAGACCCCGCAGTATTCGACCGCCTGCGCCTGGACGGGGCAGCCCGCAGGGAGCGGCTGAGCGCCGCCGCCGAGGCCCACGGTCACGAGGCGACCCGGAGCTTGGCGCGGTTCCTGCTCTCCGCTCCCGGGACGGCCCAGCCCCCCGGACCGGCCTCGGAGGCGGTGGTGTACCTCACCGCCGTGGGCGGTGCCCCCTTCACCAACCACCTGCCCGCGTTCGTGCGCAGGGCCGTGGCCGTGCGCCTGCCGGCCCTGGTCATCGCGTGCATGGACGGCCACGCGCTCGAGCGCTGCGAGGCGGTGCGCGCGGAGGAGGGCGCCGTGGACAGGGTCTGCTGCATGCCCGCGCTCGAGGGGCACGTGGTGCTAGTGAAGCACGCCTTCATTCCCGTGCTCTTGAGTGCGGCGGTGGACACCGTCTGGATAGATTTTGACACCTTCATTCTGAGAGATCCGACGCCTGCGCTGCGCAGCGCCCGAGATGCTCCCGGTGAGATGTTGCCGGCCCGAGAGCGCATGCGTTTCGGGTCGTTCTTGTTCCACAATGCTTCTGACCTGTGCGCTCTCGCGAAGATGTGCGATCCGAGGCAACATTGGCCATACACCATCAGCGGAGAGCATGATCCAAGCAATGGTGTGGAGATGCTTGTGACGGAGCATTGGGACGCACGTTGCCTTAACAATGGATTGTTTTATGTTCGGGCGACTCAGCGACCTCTTGTCTTCTTCACCATGTTCCTCACCAAATTGTACGTGAACCCATACACCGACAACCAGAACTTGTTTGACTCGTTTCTGGCGCACTCGACCCTCGATGCTGCCGCTCCGAGCTCTCGGCCCCTCCTCAACTACAGGCTGCTGGACATCGAGCGGCAGTTCGCCTGCGCAGAAGGACATCTGGGCAGCGCCGACAGCCTGGTAACGTTCCACTTCTGGAGCTCGGATTTCAAAACCCGGGAGGTTGCCAAGGCAGCTGGAGGGAGAATGAGCGACACCACCCTTACCACCAGCGGGCCCCCGCCAGCGAGGAGGTCCACGATGCTTCCCCGAGCTGGAGATCCCAGCGGGACGCCACGAAGCAGGGGGGCCACCGGGAGGACCCTCCCTGGATCATCGCGATGGTCATGTCTGGGGTGCGCGGCTCTGGGGTGGCGCGGGGGGAGGGGCCCGGGGTACACCCAAGCACGCGGACCGCTACTGCCGCTCGCAACGATCGGGAGGCCGCGCACCAAAGGTCTTCCTTGCCTTCGGCCACGTTGGCGTGTAGCCGATGGTGGTGGTGGGCCCCAGGACTTCTCGTCCCCTTCCCCAGGGCCAGCTCGTCGCCCCGACGTCGCCCCGAGTCGCTTTCTGGCGGTCCCGGGTGCCTCCAGAGGCCAGAAGTGGCGACAGATTGAAAGCCTCGACTTCTCCATGGCGCCAGGCGTCTGGGGCGGCGGGTGCCGCTTCGATCTGCCCCTAGAGGTGGGGCACGAGGCGGCGGGCCCCCCGTCCCCCGAAGGGGGGACCATTCGCATGCGGGACGGCACGGCGCGCACGGAGAAGGTCACGGCGGGCAAGGCTGAGCTCTTCGGCCTCTTCCTCGGCGGCGGCCTTCCCAGGAGCGACGGCGTGCCCGCCGAGGCCGCCGAGTCACCCTCTCCGAGACAAGGGTCTAAAGCAGACCCGCATAGGAAGGACGAGCGGCGTTCCAAGGTTGCCCTTGCTTCCTTCTCTTTCGGCCCATCCTTGGCCGCTTTCGCTTGCCGCGCGCCGCTCGCAAAGTGTCAACATGGCCTTCCAAGGCCCTTGCATTCCATCTCGCGTCCTTATGACACGGGGTGACTGTGTCCATCACCACCGCTTGGGGCATCCAGCCCGAGCATGTCCATACCCACCGCCTGCCGAGGTGCCGAAGAGATCGAGATGCCACAGGCGGTGGTTTTGGGTATAGGCCCCCGCCTCGAGTTGTGGGCCCCAAGGGGCCCTGCCTGCCCCCGTGGGCTCCGAAGGCGGCGACTGAGGATGAGACGGTTGGTCCGGAGAGAAGGCCTCTTTCGGACATGGCCAGGACGAGGATCGAGTTGTTGCGCTGGTTTCAGGATCGGGCCGGAGGAAAGGAGGAACAGGGAAATGGCGGGGGGTACAACATTTGCTGCATGCAGCTGGTTTCGGCCCCGCCGCCGGGCCCATTCCTCGAGACGTGGGCGCCTCCCAGCGCCAGGAGGCGCCAGGAAGACCAGCTACGTGAGCTGATTCTCCACCCTACCCTTTGCTATCCTACCCTTCCGTTCCCCCCGACAGGACCCGTTTACATCAGGTTGCGTTTGCTTCATGTTGAGGTCAGTTCGGCCGCCTCGCAGTCGGTCGCGTTTCGATTTGGTCTGTCCCCCCGATCGTTGTCGCGGGCGACGGAAATATCCGCTGTCCATGCCGTCGCGGTCCGGGTCACGTGAGTACTCACTCCCATGGATCTCATGGGTACGTAACCCATCGAGCATTTGCGCAAAGCCGCGCTCGGTCGGGCTGGCTGCTTCTCTCTATGGATTTTCGGAGGTCCGCGCGGAATTCCAATAGCGCATGTATACGCCGATCGGCCGCATTTGGTAGGATTGGTAGGCCGAACGTTCTTCTATTCGCAGTCGGTCGCAGTCGGTCGGTTCGCTTCTGTCGGTTCTCGTGTCGGTTTCGCGTCGCCGCCCCCTTTTGGGCTGCAATGCGACCCATCGGTCTCGGTTTCGCTGTTGGTTCGGTCGGCTTTCGGTTGTGCTGTCGCCATGAACGCCTATGCTAGTCCATGCTTTCAAGGTTGCATCGGCAGATATGGAACGATCTGCGCTATCGGCAAGCCGCGACCGTTCGAGGTCAAACGATCCGCGCCGTACCACAAGCTAGCGCCAAAGTCGTCACGACAGGAATCTTCTGTAGGAGGGGCCTGGTCCTCTGACGACCCGATCAGCTCAAGTCGCTGGCCCATGAGCGCGGGGCTCTCGGCCCTTTCCCCGGACCTGTACTCTTCGTCCCGAGCCGCTACTTGCACGGTTCTGGGGGCCGAGAATCGGTTTCTCGTGACACCGAGGATCACGGACACATTGCGGCGCGATTGTTTGGTGTCGCCGGAGGTCTGGGAGAGGAAGAGAAGAGAGGAGGATCAAGTGACGGTCGCCGCCGTCGCAGCACTTTTCTGGTCTGAACCCGTGGACGCAAGAACTCTGAGCCCAGGCAGCGGCGGAACAGAAACGCATCGGCAGCAGGCAGGCTTGTCGGGAGGAAAATGGATCGATCGCTAGTGCGGTTGAACACCCGTCCTCGATCGTCTGAGCTACATTAAGTCAGATTGGGGTTGTCAGGCCCATGAATATGGATGTAGCTGCTCGCCGCTGCGTCGCTCTCGATCCCGCAGGACACGGAGCTCTGGTGCTCGTTGTCGTTCCTCGAGGCCTCCGAGTCCCTCTGTTCTCTCGTCTCGTTGGCGCGCCGGTACCGCGTCGCCGCCTTGATCGCTCCCTTCTCGAAGGCCGCCTCCTTGGTGATCTTCACGCTCAAGATCCCGCTCTGCATGGTCGTCGTCAGGTAGCCTCTCTGCGCTTCCAGATGGGTCAGCCCCTCGGCGCACTGCACGGTGGCGCCGCAACACTCCAGATCCACTCCATCTTGAGATAGTCGCTCTCGAAAAGCGGCGATCACTACACGAACTCGAAGATCTGCGATCTGCCCAGCGAGTGTGAGGAGATTAGTCACCAAGCTGTTCGCGTCGACGGACCACCTCGCTGGGGTCAGCGTCGCCACGTCATCCACCAGATCTCCGAGCGGCTGGTTGGGCTTCTCCATCTCTTAGAGCAGGGCCCCGATCCACTCCAGCGTCTCCGCGCCCTCTGTCAGCCCATGAGCTTCAGCTCCCATCGAGGCGCGGCTCACACGTTTGATCCGCAAGCTTCCCCAGTCCAGGGAATGAATTGGGCCCTCCTTGTTCTGGCACAGGCCCTCGTCGGAGAGCAGGCATACGAACCCCGCCTGTGACTTCACCTTCTCGCCGAGCGGTCCGAGGTCGAGGTCGTCTGCGTTGTTGAGGCTGCTGTCGGCAAAGACCACCGCTCGCAAGTCTCCGTCATTATTAAACGTGTCGATTTGGAGGTGGGCGTAGACATCCCGCGTCTCCTTGCAGTATTTCACCAGCTTGTTCATCTCGCGAAGGTGCTGCAATGTCAACTGGTTTTTGTATTGAGCCAACAACATGTAGCCGAAGGAGACGTCCATGCGGAGCTGTCTGGATAGCCATCCCAGTGATCCGATCACTGTCTCCGTGACGCGTTTCTCGTCATTCGTTGCTAAGGCCTTGAGCTGCTTCTTCGCGCGAGCAGGTGAGAGCACAACGTGCTTTATAGCGTCCACGAAGTGTCCCATGTTGGTCTTGATCGCGCAGTCCGCCCCCTGCTCGACGTCCTTCCGCAGTACCGGAAGGGCGGCTTCTCCTCCGTCAGCAGCAGTGTCTTCTTCAGTTTGTCGGTCGTGGACTTGAACATGTTGTTCTTGGAGTTGCTGGTCGCGAACAGGTCTTCCGCATCAGTGCCGATGATGCCGACGAGCCTCTTGTCCTCGAAAGGTCGGAAGAAGGCACGCTCCAAGCGGTCCTCCTGCTACGAGTTGCTGCGAAGCGTACGCCGTAGCTTGCTCCACCATTTCCTGTCAGCATCCTTGAACCCGTAGATCGCGCAATGGCAGATGAAGAGCGAACCCTCTTCGACTCCAGGTAGTAGAGATAAGGGTGGATGTAGCACTAGCATGCGAGCAATGTCATCTCCTTGAAGGTAGGCGTTGGTTGCGTCAAGCTTAAATGGGGGCCAGTGCTTGCGCGACGCCGCACTGCATATCAAGTGGAAGACCAGTAGGGAAGATGTCGGCCAGTCCGTTGACTTCGCCTTCATGGGGAGCTACGGGTCGTACTCGTTCCTGTAGGTATGTACCCATTTCGATGTGATGGGCCTGATCTTCTTGACCAGCTCCTTCGCCGCATCGCCGGCGACCACGGTGACTGCCCCGAAATCCTTCCAGTTATCCCATTCCTTGGCCATGCTCGCGTCGAACAGTGCCCTCTCTGCCTTTGTGAGCCTCGCGAGCACCAGCTCCTTGCCCATGGACTTGCTGGTCAGCCATGCATGGTTGATCCAGGCGTAGAAGGTGTCGCCCGTTGCGTTCTCGGCAAGGAAGGTGCCCCCATCCATGGGGCCCGGCCGCGAACGCCGCGTTGAGGTCCGTTGTGGGCCGTATCTCTTATGCGACATGATCAGGCTGAAGAGAACATGAGAAGCAGGTGGTTGACCGACTCCCGTTTCTTCGTTGCTACATTTCGTCAAATGATCATAAGTTAGGTCATCGCCACCGCCATCATCATCATCATCGCCATCATTATCCTTATCATCATCATCATCATCATCATCATCAAAGGCCGCCGCGCGCTCAGACCATTGATGGAGCAGCGCCCTCCAGTCACCGCCCCCATGCCATGCCCAAAAGGCAGGGGGCCGCTTGACGACGCCTCGCACACGGCCAGGCCGCCATGGCCGTGCTCCGGAGCGCGGGCGCCGCGCACCTGCTGAGCACAGGACTCGCTACGCTGACCCTGAACTACTGGACGCTGAGCCTCAACTTCAACATCATCACGAACGCAGAGGGCCAGCACAGGCACACCACGCGGCCCATGAATTGCCACAAGTGGAACAATTGCACGCTGAACGTGACTGGCCACATGGACTACCCCACCCAGAATGCGAAGGACTACTGGACACTGAAAATCAACTCCAACATCATCACGAACATAGAGGGCCAGCACATGCAGGATTACAGCACGCTGACCCTGAACGACTGGACGCTGAACTTCAAATTCAACACCCCCACGAACACAGAGGGCCAGTACGTGCAGGATTGGACGCTGAGCTTCAAGTTCAACAACTTCACGAACACCGAGGGCCAGCACAGGCAGGACTACGACACGCTGACCCCGAACTACTGGACGCTGAGCTTCAATTTCAACATCCTCACGAACACAGAGGGCCAACACATGCAGAACTACACCACGCGGCCCCTGAATTGCCACCAGTGGAACGACTGCACGCTGAACGTGACTTGCCACATGCTGCTTCAGACGACGCACAAGACCAGGCCGAATGGCAGCAACAATACGGACACCTACACGATGAGGAAAGAGCTCCCAGGGATCATAGCCATCACGCAGGAGATCGAAGGCTACAAGTACACCCTGGACTCCCCCCTCAGGAAGAGCGACACCCCAGAGGACAGGAAACGCCTGCAGGAGATAGGGTCGCCAGCGCCCCCCTTCGCGCTGGCGATCTTGGAAGGACTGCACAAGTGTGACGTGGGCGGCTCCATGGAGGGTGCAATTTGGAACCACCTGCACCGAGCGGAGACCGAGGACATCGAGGCAGAACACGGAGGGCCAGCACATGCAGGATCACACCACGCGGCTCCTGAATTAGTGGAACAATTGCACGCCGAACGCGACTGGCCACCTGGGCCACTACATCCGCACCCAGCTCGCGAAGGACTACTGGATGTCCCAGAGCATCTCGACCACATCTCCGACACATGCCGTGCAAATCAGACTATAATGTACGCAGGCATTAAGA